ATATTTATGATGTATAATAGCTTTATATTAGTATAAAATAAAGCTTTTAATATTTTTTTTGAATTTTATAATAATAAGAAGAACTTTAGCTTTATAAAGATATTTATATTAATATTATAAGTTATATATTTAAAAAGTTACTTGCATTTATATTTTTTTAAATTTAATATTTACTCTTAAGTCTTTTTATAGTATATTTTTAGATATATTATTAAGAATTAATTATATAAAAAATAGTATTATATTAATATAATTTTAAGGTTTATAATAATATATTATTTACTATTATATTTTTAATAATTATTAAGATATTAAATAATAAAGCTTAAAAATTTAAGTTTAATACTATATAAATTAAGAAAAAAGGACTTAAAAATAATAATAATTAAGTAATATAATTAATTAACGCGTTAATAGCTTTAAAGTATTTAATTTTATAAAATTTATATATTTAAAGTTTAAACTTCATATTTTAAATTTTTAATAATATATTTTGAATGATAAAAATATAAATAACTCTCTTATTATATAACTTATAATAATATAAATTAATGCATTTTAAAGGACTAAAATAGCTCTATTTAACTATATAAAAATATTTCTTATAAGCCTTATAATTAGCCTTATATATACAAGTAAAAAATTTACTAGCGTTTTTCCTTAATAATACATTTATAGGTATTTTAAGAATGTAATGTATTGTATTTAAATACAATACACGAAAATACAATACAATACAAAATACAATACACAATACACTTGTATTTACTATATCCGTAAGAGCTCTGGGTACGTACTAAGCGAACGTAGTAGTATTTACGTTTTCTTTAATACTAAATACGTATTATTTCTTAAATAGCTTTATAGTTTATTTAATTAAATAGTATATTAAGTTTTAGCTTATTCGTCTTCGCCTTAACCTAAATAACAACTAAATCTATGAGTCTAAGCTTGTAGCTAGATAAGATTAGTCTATAACTGTAAAAGAAAAGACCTATTAGATAACAGGAGCCGCATTAGGCTCCAACTATTGCGCTACCCCGTTTAGTTAATTCCTATGATCCACGATTCACGTCTGTTAAGCTAAGAGTAATAACGAGTTGTCTAGTTGCTGTTTTGGAAGTAGGTACTATATGGGCTTCGTATAACATTAAACTTCTGTTTAAAAGACGGCGTGGGGAAGTCGTGTCCGGTGCATTAAAACGATGCCGAATTGCAAGACAAATTACAGTTTCTTCTACCAGCTACATGCAGCTAGCCTTACACTAGATGCTATCTGGTTAGGTAGCGGACTTAATTACAGGCTTTAATGCTTACATTAAAGGGGGATTTTAACGCTTTACAATTAACTCTAGTTAAATTAATTTATTAGCACTTGCGAAACTCTCCGCATTTACGCTAAAGCTCTAGGAAAACCCCGTTAGGAAAAAACCAGGGCTAAGGGGTAGAATCTAGAGACTTAACATGTGAGTCTAATAGTTTAGATGCCGAGTTAGTAGACGAAATAGCTTAACTTATTATAAGCAAAACAGAAAGAATATACGAATAAAACCACTTAATAAAACCATTTCGAAAACAAAACACATTAAAAAAGACATTATAATAGCTTTTATAATTCTACTAAACTTCTCCTTAAGCCTTACGCTAGGGTGTTAAGTTTTTATTGCCTAGTAGTTTATTACCCTAGCTTTAAGCTAATACGAATAAGAGCCTTATTTGAGAGTTAAGAAACTAAATTAGGATAGAAGGCTTGCGGAAGAGGTGATAGAATGTGTCGCTCTATAATTTAACGCGCCACGTTGTTAATAAAGGTCTTCATCGCCACCTATTCCGAATTAGTATGTTAACCAATCGGTGATTATAGTGTCTTTACCTTATAATACGCATTTAACTCAGATGTTACTTCATTGCATGCTTGGTTATCCATATCCACCGTGATTCTTAATCCTATAGCAGACACAAATCTCTTAATATCATTCTAAATATTGCTAATATGTAACTTTCCATGCCAGTCATGCTAAGCTATAAGGCTAACTGCGTTCTTCACGGCGGTCTTCTGAGTGTCCAGTCGTGCATTCTGCACATTATCAGTGTAATAGTGATTGTAAGTTAATGGCCCTTGTCGCTCGTCCTCTACGAGCTTTTCCAATTCGCTTAACGCGAGGTTCTCAGTGTTTTCGAGCTATTCTTGCAAAATCGTCTGTACTTGTCCCCGCACAGTAACTTCGTGAATCAATCTTTCGATAGCCCGATGGATCCATTGCGACACAATATTGAGGACCTCTCGAATATGTGTCTCTGCGATATTCGGCCATCTACGTGACTGTTCGTGGAAGAGCTCAGCAAGAAATGCAGAGTTGTGATTGCCGGGAAGCTCCTTTCCTCTGGTGCGGGAATATGCCTACGAATGATCAGATGCGGCGAGGTCATGAGGCAACATTGAGACTTACCTGCTTCACCCAGCGCATCCACCCTGTTTTGCTTACAATAAGTTGAGCTGTTTCGTCAGCTGACTCGGCATCTGAACTATCAGGCTCAGGTGTTGAGCCCTCAGGTTCACCGCCTGTTTTGATCTTCCGCGCTTGTCCGGACTGTCGCATATAAGCCGCGAACTTCGTATTCGTTTCCTGAACAGTAGCTCGCAGCCGTGAATCTGTGGAATCGAAAAACTCGGCGTCGATACTATGATAATTCCCTTCCATCGCTGCTTGCAACAGCTCGTAGAATTTCATGCTTAAGCTTGTGAGATATGCCCGAATTTGGGCAATCGTGGGTCGAGCTTCTCCAAGAGACCTGAGCTCGGCTTCTGTTACAGCTAAGCTTTTCTTGACCTCGTCCCGTACTTTAGGTAATTCCCTCTCTATATGAGTGTCAAGAAGATCTTGCAGAAAACTTCTGAGGTTCTCCGCTCCAACTCGCTCCATGTCGAGATTTTGGCTGTTCCAAACGGGGCTGGAGAAGAACCGCAGCTCGCGCTTAGAACGTGCGTCCATGCTCAACCCTTCCTTGAGCTCCGAAGGGCTGGGATTTTTGAGGATAAAGAAGCCAAGCTTAAGTTTTATAGAGTCCTGATTCTTTGCGACAAGTGCAATCTTTGCTTCGGCTCCCTCGTTAATGAGGTCTGGTTTGGTGATAATTCCAACTGTCCGCTGGCCTTGCGGATCCTGCTTCCTCGCCAACTTGATAATGGGTTGGTTTGCCATGTCGTTTCCAGCTTGAAGGACTGCAAGAATGATTGTACGCGAACTTTGGAGATATGACGTTACCATGTCGTAGACAGCTTCGACATCCTCGTCTGTCTGTTCCTCACTTGAAACTGATATGAGCCCCGGCAAATCCACGACACTGAGATGCAAACCGATGGGACCGGAAATTTCAATGCGAAGCGCATCAGGGGCAAAAGCGTATCCTTTGTCGCTACCACTGTATCCTCTAATATTCATGAGCTGCGAAACATCATGAATGATTGCTGGCAACTCCGACATGTCCTTAACATCTTTGCGATAGGATGCCAATGTTTGCTGGACCTCTTCGGTTCGCGAGACATGGGGCCGTATGCTAGCAGTGATGGTAGTCGAGTTGGATTCGGTATGCCTAAGTGTGATCTCGGTAGGAAACCTAGTGCACAATCCTTCTTGCCTTGGAAACGGTATTCCGGTGATCCCCTCCAAGACCGAGCTCTTCCCCGCCGATTGGTCTCCGCAAACCACCAATTGGGGCAATGCCACTAAGTCTCCCACTCCATTCGCTCGTATCTTTTCAATTTGATTGAGACGGTAGCTAGATGTGGCAGTTCGAAGGTGGTCAAAGTTCCCGTCTGGGGGTTCCGTGTGGCTCTGTGCGGATATGGTCATGGTTTGTTAGGGTCACAATTGAATATAGTTGACGCAGAGGGTTGTGGGCGGGGCGGTATCTACGTAGTTTTGGTGGTCAGCACCCTCAAAGACGGTGCTGGCGAAGACGGAACTAAAAAAGTGGGGCGGCGGCACGAGTATTGAGAGTGATAAAGTGATAAGGCGGTAAACCTTGATTTGGTTGAACTGGTGAGGTGGTGATTGAATGTAATTGACAGGACTTGCCACGAAGTTTGGAATTGGAGTGAGTATTGAAACTTCCCTTTCATATAGCGCGACCTAATCTTAACGCAAACCCAAACGCCAACGTCAACTGTAGCTGAGGCGGGAGTCGCTGGGACTTGAGCAGCATCGAACATCCTTTTGGCGCCCCATCCTAACCAAGTCAAACACTTGTACGGCACAATAAGAGATAGCTGCCTTGTGAGCGCACATCAAACTATGCCATGTACGAATGACATAGAATCGTCCTTCCTCCCTGGAGGGAAAGAACCGCTAAGGAATAGCACCTGCCAACAGCAGCTAAGCAGCCATGCATAACCCCAATGATGCAGTATCGACGCAGGAACAACGCGATCAAAGCTATAGTTGCATATTGCAACGTAGAGGAAGGGCCAACTGCACGCCGGACTAATATGCCATCAACAATGACGGTCTCCCTGAGAGCCTCCATCAGCTATCAGAAGATAGCCCATTGTACAGCAGTGTTGCAGGTCCGGAGTGAGTGGCTATGATGGCGTCTGGGCCTGGTCCAGGCGGTACACCAATGTCGGTAGTTTCTACTGGCTGCACAAGCGCCTCGAGCTAAATTAGGGGGTGTATAGATGCCGAGATCAAAGGGATTCGGCGCACATGGCGGGCTGGTTTTGGCTGTTGCCATCGCCGCCGCCGAAGCTTCGCGTAAGTTGCAGATTTATGTGAAGCGTTAAGCAAGTTGGTGGAATTAAGTCTACCTTCTTAACAATTTTGCATGCCAAGAAGGCGAGATGACAAAGGAGGGTGTGGGGTGGTTGCTGCCACTGATCCATTCTGTGACATCTAGGTTTCAGCACACGCCACCAGCCTCCAGATTGCTGAGCACCTCGGCCAATACTGGCATCAGTCTGGCATTAAACTTCGGCGTAGATTCTAAGAACCGATCCGCCGCAATCCGGGATAGGTTGGTCCGTTAGGTATGTTGTTGGGTATCATGCTGAGCTGGCGATCGTGGGTGGATGGCCCAACCCCTCACCTGAAGTTGCGCGATCCAAAAGCCAGCCCAATGCCGATTCTGTGAATACTTTCAACCGCTGGCCACATTGATCAAGTCCTCCGTGCGTACAGCGCCAATCGTTGTCCTCTTGCAGAATGGCCTGGATTGCTCTTTCCCAAAACTTTCAACCGTCTTCTGTGAATGCAATTGAATAAGATGATTGGAATTGACACAATCATCGGTCTCCCTTGCCATCTTGTATTTCGATACCTCCGACAACAATCTGCGAGCTTCGCTTCAAAATAGTGCCGAAAAGCTGTGGGGGAAAATGATAGAGCTGGATCAGCAGATTAAGATACTTGGAGGCAGATCCCCGGATCCGGCGCTTCACCGTAAGAACCCTTAATCAGCGCGAGGGGCGAGACTCATTCGACATTCACCGGCGTGTCCGACTAGCGATGCAAAACTGGCTAGAGGAGAAAGGGGAACTGGAGGGGTGCATAACGTCTGCAATACAGCGGCTGGATCAGGCGTTTCCGTTTCCGGAGCACGAGAACAGAGACTGGATGAAGTATCTGCCGCATGCCAAGGCTGCGCTAGAGCTTCGAGGGCATTCCGCGGACAAGAGAGTCCAGGCTCGTCCCGACGCGGTACGGCGGGCACTAAGGCTTTACAGGAAGGAGCGCTCTACAGACAGGGCTGAAGCAGGTCTTTTTGCCAATGTAGCAGAGAGCCACTATATGTTGGGAAAATATCAGGCCGCAGAGCAGATGTATCGGAAGGCACTCGAGCTTCAAAAGGCAGCGCTAGGCAAAGATCATCCGGACACACTTACCAGCATGAACAACCTCGCAAATGTGCTTAATAGCCTAGGGAAGTACAAGATGGCAGAGAAGATGCATCGCCAGATACTCAAGCTTCGGAAGGCAGTGCTAGGCAAAGATTATCCGGACACACTTATTAGCATAAACAACCTCGCAAATGTGCTTGATAGCCGGGGGAAGTACGAGGAGGCAGAGCAGATATATCGCCAGACACTTGAGCTACAAAAGGCAGTGCTAGGCAAAGATCATCCGGACACACTTACAAGAATGAACAACCTCGCAATTGTGCTCCGGCGTCTGGGCACGTATGGCGAGGCAGGACAGATGCATCGGCATACACTCAAACTCCGAGAGCCAGGTGCTCGGTAAGGATCATCCAGACACGCGTCAACGTAGGAGAAATCTTGAAGACTGCATAAAACCAATGGGGAGGCCAGAGGTTGCGGTATAAGTAATTATTATCGTCCTTTTGAGAGAACAATGAAACAGTTTTCGTGACCTAACGCGTTCAGAATAGTTTTGCTCGCGTCCGTCTCGCGCACACTCGCTGTCTGCATCCTTATTTGCACAGGCACTGTGTACTTGCCCACGATACACGCAGATGCAGCGGTCGAGACACAGAGAAGGCCCCAGTGACAACCTGGCACCAACTTATCTGGTATCTTTGCAAATCTGCGGAGTAAGTTACTTGTGGTCGTTCTGTCTTCCGCTGGCGCTCCAAAGACAGCTGTGTTGGCCCTGGCTCTGGTCTCCGATAACCTTAAGGAACAGGCCTGACACCCACGAAACCCCTGGCACCTGCAAGAACTCTGCGTTTTAGGTGGCATGCATGCGCAACAGACCTGGGAATAAATTGCCAGTGCAGTGCTTGATCTGTAGCGATTGCTCAAATTGCACCTCCATGTGCAGAAGCTTGATTGGCTTGTTCCGCCGATACTGTCGGTCGCGTCACAAGACGTTGGAGCGATGCAAATCAAGGCCATGAGAAAGGACGCGGCCAAGTCACCCTAGCATCTCGAATATGTCCTGCGCCTAGATGCCTCCAGTCTTTGCCTTATGCTCCGGCGCTGTGTTTCGGCGCATTGTGGACTTTGCAGATACTATACATCTGGCGGCGACGGGATGGAGACCCTAAACTTTTGCGACTCCTATTGAAGGCAGCAACACGTTGTAGGCTGACTTGGGCAGGAAGATGCCTGGATGTTGGCAGGTTGATCAGATGACACCTTCACATACTACCTGAGAATGCGCTCGATAGAATTCGTGACAAATGGTGCAACACGGTCCGAAGAATGCCATGTTAACAGCACAGACAGAAAACATATGAGATTCAATTCTGCCTCAGAAGGTATGACCAATCCAAGTGGTCAGCAGTCGATGAGCCGATTGTTGCACGCTTTCCATCTCTGAGAACTAGAGCCAACGCTGCACCTACAATCAAGAAGTCTGGCTGGCTGATGCTACATGCAACATTCCGCTCCCCAGAAGCCGCATCTCTACACCAGTGCCTCAAGGAACGAAAGGCTTCTTTGCCCCGCTTGCAGCTCATGAATGCCAGTGAACTCGCGCCGCCAGTTACGTGACAAAAGTTTGCGACCACCCCACCGAACCACCCACTTACATCAACACTCATCGGATGCATGCATTCTCTTTGAAAATCCACCAAAATCGCAAATAATGCCTCAACGGCGTAGTTTCGGCACAGAAATTAGTGCAAATCGTCAAAGAGGTCATCAGCACAGTCCTGAAGCCAAGGCCTCCATGCTGACAATACTGGATGCCGGTGTATCTGCCCGGCGTGTCGCGCAGGAGTTTAACACGACGCATTCCACAGTGTTGCGTATCAAGAAAACATGGACTGAAAGCCACACACTTGCCGCAAAGCCTCGAAAAGGGCGTCCTTTGAGGTTATCACGAACAGCAAGAAGGTATATCATCCGCATGGCCTCTCGTGATCGCCAGATTTCATACGACGCGTTGATTGGTGCAACACCTACGCAGGTCTCGCGTCGTACGATACAACGCGTCATGGCCACGCATTTCGGGCGAAAATGGAAGGCAATGGATAGGCCAAAACTAGATACTGAATCTGCTCGTCAGAGGTTACAATGGGCAGAAGGTTGGCTTCAGGACATCGAAGAATTAGAGCAGGTAGATTGATTTGAAATTGATGACTCTTGAACCCCGCTGACGCGCCCAGGTGATCTTCTCTGACGAGACCTCTGTGCAGAATAAATCATCCAACCCACAAGCCTATGTCTTCCGGTTTCCTCATGAGAAGTATAATATGAGCCTCGTGAACCTCAAGGATCATGTCAAGCCGACTCTACAGGTCATGATGTGGGGAGGTATCTGGAAAGAAGGAAGGACTCCTTTAGTGGTGATGACACGCGATGAAGCCGCTCAGCGGCACGGTTATTCGGCTTGAAGCTATATAAAGGCTTTAAGAGAGGGCCTACTTCCTCACTATGACGGCACACGGCGTTTTCAGCAAGATAATGCTCGAATTCACACCTCTCATACTGTTACAACCTTCCTACAACATCAGGGCATCGAGTACATTGACTGGCCGAAGAACTTGCCGAATTTGAACCCGATTGAGCACTATTGGGCCATTCTGAAGAGACAGATTAGAAGAATGTTCCCTCATCTACGTAATTTACGTGACAATAGCATCGATATGATAGAATTCCAACGCTGTGTGCAAATTGCGCACAATTCAATCCCTCAGCAGCAGATTACAGCACTTATTGATTCTATGGAGCGCCGCTTGCGCGCTGTGATTCGGGCGCGAGGATGGTATACCAGATATTAATTGACGTTTCAAGCGCTACGAATTGATATATACAACTTTCTATTTGAACAAATATACATAGAGAAATCATTGGTTAAAGACACTGCGCATGTTGCTGCCGACTGGAGGTGTGGTGGGGTGGTCGCAAACTTTTGTCACATTACCGTACTAAAGGTTGGCTCTGGTCGTCATCACTCCACCTAGGCCTAGCAGGGCCGAGAGCCTGTTTTCCTTCTTCACAGCTGTTCAACCTCCCGACGACATGACGTGTATTTTGCGGAGTGCGCTCCGATGGGTTCCACCAATCATTTGTGAGAATGCCCCCTTTTTGTGTTTCAATAATAAGGTCTAATCAAGACATCACTTCCATTTCTTGTTGCATGACTTGCCAGTAACGCTGAACGATGAACGACCTTCCATTGCAAAGGTTTTTATTGCTGCATTGTAGTACAGCGAAGACAATATGCCCGATGAGCCACCAAGGAGGGCCCTTCGACGACTCGTACCCGCACCCGCACCCAGTGGTAGCCGGACTGTTTCGAACTCCGCTCTCTCTGGGCGACGAAAGCAGGTCACTGCAGCTTGCGAAACTTGCAGAAAGAGTAAAATAAAGGTTTTTATATCTTCACACTTGTAAACACAGCAAATTTGCGTCGGCACCTAACGATAGAGCAGTGTGATGGAATACGACCACAATGCTCCCCGTGTATCCTTGGCGGAAGAGGTTGTCAATACACTACGGAGCCAGCTGAGACGAGGTTGTCGGCCTTAAAGCGTTCCAAAACCCACGCAGAACAACAACTTCGAGACACCCACAGATCTCATTCGCTTCTCCTGCAGCTACGGATTTGTCGGTTAGCTCCTGTAACCCCGCAATTCCTCCCACAGACCAACATTAGCATCTGAACGTGCTCATGCTGCTGCTCGTCACAGGTCTTGTAGGGTTGGTGGAACTCCTGAAGTGCCGGAGTCCGGAAGTTATCTCCACCGCATACAATGTCAAGCCAGGCGGACATGGTGAAAAGCTGCTGGTTTGTTTTGAGGCCGGCTAACGGCTCGCTGGGGTTAAATACATGTTTGCTGAGCCATTCTAATCATAGAATTGTCTGTTATCTAGTTTTTTGGAATCTAGTCTTGGTAATTTGCAAACTGAGATTTACGATCTTGGAACCACGACAGATCACCAACGGTCGCCCCATCTACAACATAGTCAAAACAATAAACCGAGTAGCGAGTCTCAGTCTTCTATTATTATATTGATTTTAACACTTAACATTTAGAAGTCATACATGTGATAGTCAATTCAAACCGCCTCTAGAAAGTTCTATTCCCCTTTATATCAAGCTGTTGCATCATGTCGGGTACATCTTTGCATGTTCCGCTTGTATGATAACCAAGATCAATATCTCCAATCTCTGGGATCTCGAGCATGGGAGCATTTTTAAAATTGACATTTTTGGGGCTCTTCCATAGCTCATTCATCTTGAGCTCATTCTTTTTGCTGTGAGTAGTGAAACGGGTATGGCGTCGGTGGTCTGGTTACCTTCTGAGGATGGCTGGTTAGCTTCAGAGGAGTAGGTTTTCTGGTTTTAGACCGCTGGGTGTTTCTGTATCCGGTGCACGAAAAACAATTCATAGTGGCTGTATGATGTGCTATGCTTCCTTGGACTTGCCTTGACCGATCCTCCTGCTGTTTATATATTCTGGGCAAGGGTTATTAGGCCTCGGAGCTCATTATCAAGATCCGGGGACTCAGTCTGTGGTATTCCAGAATTAAGATTCAGAATCTCTTTTACTCGTTTCACGCGGCTAAGCACCTAAATAGTGGCTCTCGTCCAAAAACTCAAATTCAAGTTCTGGAACCACAGAACCTAGCTCTAGGAACTGATCTGTAGTTTCTTAGTGTGTTGGGCTGTCAGCTAATACCCCGAAATCTATTGTGGGATCCAGATGCAGACCCTCGCCGGCTCCCCTCCAAACATGCGCAGGGACCCGATGCGAACTACCAACAACCGCTAAAAGAGGTCATCACTAAAATCGAGTATTGAAGCTTTGCAGGCTTCAGTGTAAGAATTTATTGACTAATGCATAGCGTATTTTATATCAGTAATAACCACGCTTCCAATTCTGAAACCACTGTCCTCTATTTAAGTCCGTTTTGGTCGCCTATGCGGGATACGCCCATTGATACCCAGTACAACCGATTACACGGTTAGTATGCTCAGACAACACAGAAGCGAGGGGTGCCAGTGTGACAATAATGCAGACTCTCAATGCCAAAACGCGTGATAGCATCCCAATATGGCGGCTCTACAGGCTTAAAGCCTTTTATGTTAGCAAGCGTGAAACACCGTAGTCAATAGCTAGAAGACAGTTCCCCCAACTGTGCAAAGGACATATATGTTTAAACTCTGGGACTATTGCGCATCGCACCATTATGGCCACCGATCGTGCACAAGATAGCCGCTGAGTTCTGCTCGTAGCCAGTCAGATGGACTCCCGACCAAGTTATTCTTAACGTAAGGTGAAAGATCTAGTTCGCTGTAGAGAACACCCTCCGACGAGATCTCTATTTTGTTGAAACTGTTACTCGCGTGGTGATCGCTGTGCATGCCACTAGAATGAACTGAGGCCTTTGTTATATGAGAAAACACGCTTTCCCATGACCCGCTTCGGAGAGCAACGTCGCATAATTCCACTCGCTCTAGAGTCGCAGAGTGTTTTGAATAGAAGTTAATCAAGTTTGACGGATCATGAAAGTCTGCACCTTCAAACCTGATGATCCGTAGCTTGGATATGCTCACGCGTTCGAGAAAATTCACTGGTAACAAGCTGTCTTCACCACAGCCCAGGGATATTTCTAGTTTCTCGAGCCGTGGGGCATATTGGAGCAAGTTGAGCAGACCATCATAATTGCTCAACTCCTTTTTGTCGTACGAAGTTAGGTCTATGCTCATACTTTTAAGCGCCTTCAAAGCCTGTTCGTAGATGGGAGATCTCGTAGAACTTAGAGTTCGCAATATCCCTGTCAAGGGCAGATTGAGGTCTGCCTCGTCATGCGAACGCAGCACAAGGCTAGTGAGCTCCACATTTGTTGCGTACAAAGAAGTGGTGATGCTACTGAAAACCCGAGGGCCTGTAGATAGTTGCAACAAGCGTTTGAATTCTTCATAATACATGCCACAACGTCCTAGCGAGGGTAAGCTTTTTGGAGACTGGGTTATGCGAATGGTGCGGAGGTTTCTGAGGCGGGGCAGAACGATAGCAAGCACTGCCACGTCCAGGTTTGTTTGTTCCAGGAACCTGTTTCTCAAATGTCCGTGACAATGCTCTTTATAAGCCTCGTCTAGCTTTCTAGGACAAAATGTCTTGAACGAATCCTCTCCTGCGTGTCGTTTTATGTGGGCATCAAAATTGTCTCTCGAAACACGTTCAGAGTCAAACTCTTCAAAGCCGCATGTAAGATACCGCACATCATTTTTCTGGCTGGAACAGGAGATGGCCAACATTTTTCGAGAGCCATCCTCGTTGTGCATGAAGTCAATATGGCTGAATGCAAGATTCCCTGCAGCATTCGCTAATTTCTTACAGACAAATCGGCAGGACAACAAATCCGAAATGTTTCCGAATCGTCGAAAATTCTCATTGACATGGTATAGATGTTCGAGGATGGGGAGCAGAATCTCGTTTGGTAGGCAAAGCATGGTAAAGAAGATTAGACGCAGCTTGAGCGTTACGGCTAATGAGGTTAGCTAGAGTAGAATAGCAGGCAGTAAAGATATATTGTACTTTGTCTCGCCAGGCGCTTTTTCGTCAATTTGTTTCATCACTTGACAGTAAATTGGGTCTGCCAGCGGCATTTCAGTCAAGTAGACAATGCGATCCTGACCAATATATAAATAGCCAGGCTAGCTTTCAAGATCCAGGATTCAAGTTCTCGGACTTGGGTATATGATTCCAAGCAATAAGATCTGTGTTCTGCTTTCCTGACGACCTTGCTTGCGGCCTTTGTCGGTACTCACTGGAACGTGGCCCCGAGCAGACGCAACTCGATTCCGGCACCGTACGAAGTTGGGCCGTAACAGTGAGTTAAACATGAAATGAATGCGACTTAAAACGGCGCTCACCCTAGAAAATATATCACCAGTACACATAGACGACCTAACTTTGCCCTGCAGAGTACTCAAAGCTTTATTTAGCTCTAACCGATCATTTACTTTCATCATCAACTCGCCAAGATGACACTCATCTTTTCAGTATTAAACTCCTTAGTTTAACCGTCAATATAAGTTCCTAACCTAGTTCATGCCTTGTAAACCAGCTCAAGTTATCACACGACACCGAGGATCATCCCTACACTAACATTTTGATGAAACAAGTACTTCAATTTCATGGGTCCAAGACTATCCATCATGCAACTTGCCCATTTAGAACTAACCCAGAGCCAGCTGAATATAATTAACAAACTGTTCAGCCAAACATCGCACATTCTATAAAATCCCTGCTGCCTATCTGTCCTGTACAGACAGCACAAATTTTTAACGTTGAAAAGCAATCCGCTCTGCTGCTCCGTAATAACATCAACCAGCCGGTCTTACTACGACCAAGGTCATTTGCCGGCAGGTTTAGTTTCCCAAGCCTACTCAGACTACTTTACCCGTACAGATCAGACGGTGCGAGGATTGTTCGACCTGTTGAATCTGAGCCCTGCGTATCTTGACTTTGAATGGAACTGATTGTATCCCTAAATTGAGTAATTTGATAGGGAGCACTCGGTTCAAGGTTGATGTTAATGCTTGGAGGACTGACGGACGGATGATCACCACCCTGATGTCTTGCTGGTTGAGGTGGCGATAGGATTGATCGCACGCTCTCAGAATCTTGGTGTTGCAGCTGTCTACGGCCCCGAGCTGAGACGGCAGCAGACAAGACAGGAGCCGGCAACTGAAAGCTCGTATTTGGGCTTTGTGACATTGCTAATGCTGGACTTGATTGAGGAACGTCGACAGTCTGCACTGGGGTATTTGCCAATGAAGAACCTGCCACGGGCAGTGGTTCGTTACCTGTTGGAATGCTTGTCCTCGATTGCGCTGTGTCTGCGCCGGGGTTCTGGGCTATGACGGCGGGATGATCGGGAAATTCATGGAAAAAAGAACGCATAAAGTCCGTTTGGATGAAAATAATGCTTGGGTACGCACCAATTTCGGTGTTTCTGAGCATCTCTGGCAGGAAAAGATGGCGCGATATAACATTGTATGATCCCGCATAAGGGCGCCCGGTTCTCCTCTTTATATTGGGCTCTTGAGTCTTATATGTAGAAACCGGTATGAGACTCGGTGGTGTCGTGGTTGGAGGCAGTTGGCGCAACTTGTTTTCTATTGTACTTGATGTAAATCCTAGGGCTTGCGCATGTCGCAAGAATCTCGCTAAATACTGTTCATCAATTCCAGCACCTATTGTCTCCTGTCCACGCTCCATTTTTGGTCTATCTGTAGATAATCGAGGGAAGTTTCTAAGAGCCGAGATGAAGATTATTTGATATGACATAGAGAAGTCTGGGCAAGAAATTGCGGGATAAAACTGATCTTCTGCGTATTCAGTTAAGTTTGCTCCTGGGCTCCAGATGCTTCGCATGTCCTGGGCAACAGTTTCGCCTTTGACCATCATAGGGCGACCTAGCAGATGTTCCCGTAGTATTCGCATACCAATGTGAAGATAACTCATGTTTTCGTGGAAGGTTTCGATGCTCGGTATGACCACTCCTATATTTAACAGCTGTTGTTCGATTTCACGACGAAGACTGGGATTAGAAATGCGAGGGAAAAGAACCCCCGAGCGCATTAAGCTCTTTATACCTTCCTGGTCGACGGAGGCACATGAAGGGGCCAGACGTTCCAGAGCTTCCACCGTCTTGAGATCTGTAGCTTGTTGAACTTCAAGCTTATCGAGGGTGATTCTTGCCCAAGTATTTTTGATGTGGTCCAGATAATAACAAATCTCTTCGACACAGTGCTCCGCCAGATGTTTATGCATGATTCCAAGTTTCAAGCCGTGGCAGAAGCCTGGATATTGGGTCAACTCATACATCCTGTCGCAGACGGCGCCACTTTCGAGAAGACCCCCGAGCGAGTGCCGTTTGCTTTCACTCAGGCGCAAGCGCCACTCATGTGCCCGGTTCCATTGTCCTGCTCGCTGATGAAAACACACTCGGCGAAATATTTCCATGTCTGAATCCGGCTTCTGGCTGGAGAATTGATTCATTTCGTCGTACAGTACAATCTCAGGATCACTTCTGTCAGAGATGCAGAAGATTTTGATACCCCACCAGGTTTGGGGTCCAAAACTTTGCAGTGCTGCCTCAAAGCGCTGTCTGCCATGGAGGGCATTAATGTGTGAGGGTGGGTCTAGCCGCGGATACGGAGGCCGACATCGTTGTACGTCCTCCGACTTGGCGTTTGATCGTTTGAGGATCTCTTCGAGCTCACCTGGTCGAACATATACCGGAATCAGATTCTGCACGGCGACTGGTTTGCAATTTTCTTTGAATACAGCAGCCAGATTTTCAACGGCGGCTGGTATTTTGTCGCGTGAATGAGGAAAAACGAGATTCCGCAATTGAACCTCGGCGATTCCAATTTCAGAGCCCATGACGGAAGCTACAGTTACACTGATAATGTTTTGAGAATTGAGTTGCGACGAACTGTGGATGTGCCAACAATTTTCTCTCACTCTCTTTTGATAATTTCTTCGTTTAAGTATTAGGCTCAGTGAGTGTGGCTCATGCCAGGTTCTTCGACTTTCAATTCCAGATCTTGAAATCAAGATGCTATTTTTTAGCCATCTCGTTCCTGCAAGATCTAAGTTTCAAGATCAAAGATCTAAGATACCAGTCGCCCACAAGACTTGTCTCCCACAATACCAGTTCACTCACAAGACCTGTCTCCCACGAGACCTGTCTCCCGTACGACCTATGTGAGGGCTCACGGAAGGGAGCTATAGCGAGGTCACAAGAGCTCGTGATGCAACTGATAAGTTGTATTGCAAGAGAGCTAAAAGAAGTGAAGAAGTTAATCATGTAAAAGAAGAAGAAGAAGAGCTAGTTAAAGGGTAGTAACGTAATAATAATAACCTAGTGCCTTACACGTGACTATATAGGCCTTAATATCCCCTCATTTAAAAAAAGATAATAGCCTTATTATTAAGATAATAAGAAAGAAAAAAAGAAAAAAACTATTAAATTTTATTTACTTATTAGCTAGTAAACTTAATACTATTATCGCTAATATTAGCTTAAGTATTACTATCTTTGCTATCTTAAGTAGTAATAATACTAGCTTAAGTATTATTATTTTCGTTATCTT